CCTGAATGTAGCTCATCATATAGTTACTTTTGAGTTCAAATAAGAAAGATTTATCTTTGAATCAATAGTACGTACTAAGGTGAAGAATCGGAGGGGATCGCAGAAACAGCAAAAGAAATTTTGCGGGCCAACCTTCAAACGTTAAAGTGTCTTCAAATGGAATTGAAAATTTAAATTCCATTTGCTGATCATCTCGATTTTTTTATGAGTTAAGGTTAAAGGAAAGAAGGCTTGTTACTGAACTGTCTAAGAATGATTATGTCCATTTGAACAAAATATAAGTCTTTTGTTCAACTATGTAAATCACATTAACTATAATGTAAGTTTAGAACACTTTTTTTATTAGTCCTACATAACATTTAAGATGATATATACCATGTGATTTGAATCTTACATTTTCTTTTTTTTGGCCAATGATGGCTATCAACCTTCGAGAATAATTGCTATTGCAACCGTCGCCATCCTAATTCATGAAGTTAGCTCCATACCTTGTGGTTGCATATTCTACTCTAGTTAGATTATGTAGTTCTGCATTTCCCTAATTCACTACCATTTCAAACTTCTATTTTTTTTTTAAAAAAAAATAAGATACACATTTTGATAAATTGGTTAGCTTAGTTGGTCATGGAGTCATTGTAATTGTTAAATTTTCAATCCTTTTCTTACAAGTCTACGATTTACACAAACTAAGAAATGTCTGGATAATTTGGAGTTCACCATCTTATATTTCACAAAATTTAGATCTATTATATTGGTCTTTTTAATTTTCAGTCAAAAGATGAAATCATTTTTTACGTAACATGAACTTTTATGTTATTAGCACATAATGCTAGAAAATATACATTTTAGTTAAAAATATTTAATCTTCTTGCTAACATTGCACTTTTTAGTATTCATTTTCACATGTTTTGAAGAACTATAAGCTTACAAATGAGTAAAATGTAGCATTTTTTTAATACATATTTTTGTAGTATCTTAGGATCGTGCTTACGGTTCGATCCTAACAATTCACTATAGGATTCTGATGTTAGCAACCTTGGCATGCAGCCACCTTTAAGGTGCTGTTGTTGTCAAGATTTGAAAATCTAATGCCAACTTTAAGAGGTAGTAGGTTCATATTTCTCCCACTATACATAATTATTCAATTACACATAATTATTCAAGTATAATCTTGTACCTTTATTTAAAAAAAGAAATCACACATAACAATTTTTGAATTATAATATTGAACCAACCTTATTTTAGGGTTTTCTCTTGAAAGTACACATGATTGGAATTCAAAGGTACATTCACATGTACACCTACAATGCTATCTAAAAGTACCCCTTTAAATCGGTGATTAGTTCAGTGTCTGTGCACTAAATCGTGACTCCACCTGCTGCACAAAGTATGTACTTAATTAGTGTCATCTTATCTTTGACTCCAATTAAAGCAAAGAAACCATATTTATTCTTATCGTAATCTCCATTTGTCCACCGACTGAATGTAAATTCCAAGTGTTAGATGATTTTCTGTTGATGTTTTCACACATTGTCTGTTATCTTTATGCTTTAAAATAGTATTACTCTGGTACCATCTTCCCCAAATGGTTCGCGCAAATTTATATATTACGGAAAGACGGGTTCAAGAATCAATTTAACAATCTATTTTAGCAGTGTGCTTCTTGTGTTTTTTCTTCTCAAAACCACTGAATCTCAGCTCATGTGGCAGCTGCTTTTTGGTCAAATGTGGAGCTGCAGGGGCCAGAATGCGTAGTCCAATTCCGGTGCCCATCAACTCTCTCACCAGAAAGTTGTACCAACTCCATCATAGCACCATGCATGTCCAGTACACCATTAAGGGCCACTATTTTGTGACGAATTAGTGGAGGGCTTTGAATAAAGTAGTTGCACAATATAATTTTTGTTGATTGTTACTTTTGCGTCTGCTTTACCGGGAAACTTTAATCTCAAAATGCATAATGTAATTCCGCATACTTTCTAGTAGGCATTATCTTGTTTTGTTTTTTATTCAAAAAAAAAAAACCCCCGAATCTTATAAGGCAAAAGTTGAAGAAAGAGGGATTTGGAGACTCAAAATAGGGATCTTATGGTTATCTGACTATTACCTCTACCAGATAATTTGGATTTTAATGGCATACAAACACACAACCATACATAGAATCACACTATTATGCTGAAAATTAATCTTTACTCATCACACGAGTAACTCACCATTAAGGAAAACTGATTTTACTTCTAGAAAGTACTAATCGTGCACTTTTGGATACTCATTGCCTGGTTTTTCAACATCACTAGGTAGCATCAAATACAAACACTTATATATGGCACCTTCACCAGTTTCTTTTTCATTTTCTGCTTTCACTAGTTATACGTTTGTGCACTTAGCTTGCTCTTATATATAGTTTTAGGGATAATTTCAGAAACCTCCCTTGAGGTTTCACGAAATATGACATGGCTCCCTTGAGGTTTTTAAAATCTCGCTTAGCACCTCTCAAATTGACATTTTGATAATATTTTCAGCCCTTCTACCTAAAAGTAATATTAGAAAATTGATGTTAGAGAAGAGAGACTATTTTAGTGCCCTTAATACCCTTAGGCTATGAAAAATATGAACATTTTACAAACAAAAAAAAAAGTAATAAATTGTAACCATTTTAAAAGTGAGGATTAAAAGTTGATAAGGATTTATGTTGTAGGCAATAGTCACTTCTACAGCAGAGAGAGGCAGCAAAAGCAAATGCTATTCTTTAAACCATTGCTACAAATAAAACCCTCCATAGTGTTGAAGGTAATTAGCATATAAAACTCATACATTTAAGCAAAAAAACTCAAGGATAGATGAAATTCAACTTCAATATCATATCGAAAATTTACTCGAAATAGACTGACTTTTTCATCGGTGTGAAAAAGAAAAACTTTATTATAAAAAGAAAAAAGTTAGAATTTGAAAAACCATAGCTCCTGGAGTTTTACTTGCTTCATTTCTCTCGTGATCTACATGCATAGAAACAAATAAATAAATAGATAAAATAGTTGTGAAACACAAAAAAAAAGGGCAAAAAGAACCTGCAGCTCTTCTTCTCCAGATGCGTTGAATATTTCATTGATTAAATCCTATATTTCATTGACACTTACAATTTAATATTATATATATGTGTGTGTATGTGTGTATGTATGTATCAACATTGTTAAAGAAAAGTAGAAAATTTAGAAAAAGAAAAGCAAGTATAGGAAATATAAATATGAGGGTATTATTGATAATTTTTCACCTTTGATATTAGCACATGATCTCACTATCACTTCAAGGGTACTAAGAGAGATTTTGAAAATCTCAAGAGAGCTATGTGATATTTCGTGAAACCTCAAGGGAGGTTTCTGAAATTATCCCATAGTTTTATCATCATTTCTTACTATTGAATAGAAGTATTTCTAGTTAGCCCCCACGTGAATGGGCTGGTGGTTGGCGCCTCTTCCTCGGGACCGTCAGGTCCTGGGGTCGAACCTCCGCAGCAACACCAGTTCCGCCGTGCATCTAACGTGCTAGGTCTGATTGGGGCGTCGGGCCGAGCCGGAGTGGGATTAGTCGGGCCGCCTTTACGGAATTGACCCGGACACCCACTTCGTCGACAAAAAAAAAAAAAAAGAATAGAAGTATTTCTAGTTCAATGGTTCTGGGGGATGCTGTCCTATTTATGAATATTTGCGTTCCCAGTAACTACTACCCTAGAACTTCAAACTACCATTTGACAAAAGTAAGAATAGGCAGCTAAAATTTATTAGGGTCTACAGAGGCAAAATTCTTGTAGAATTCTTTTTGCTCAAAACAACGCGGAAAACAACAAAATCTCAAGTTCATAACGCGATATGTTATGAAAATGAAAGCGTGTAGGACCAAAGTCAATAGTCAACATGGTATTTCTACAACCCACACTAGGATGGGAAACCAAACAAAATGAGTTCCCCACATTCACAATAATTGCTTGACAGTTCACAAAGAAAACAACTTCCTGAGGGGTCACATCCACCAAATAAAGATTTTCCTCATTTTCGGTAAGGGAAAGGGAGATTGATTAGGAATTATAGCCACGCAATGCAGGTTGTGATTACGGCTAATTAGTCGGATGATATGTTTAATTTACAGGGCTATATACGTCAGAATTAGGGGCTGTTCTATTTTGATTATTTTATTTGATTCTCGATTATGATTTTGAATAATGACTTTGGTTGATGTTCTTGTTTTGCTGAAGTATATGCAATTTGTGTCTTTTGAATTATCTATTTTTGGAGGTATTTTTGAAATATTTTACTGTAACCGTGTATATGAAAAAATTTTATTATAAATGTTTTTTGAAAAAATATTAAACATATATTGTATGAATATAATATTTTTAAGTTATTTTTATTTGTGTATTACTACAGTATTGTATTTGAAAAAATTATTTTTGAAAAATATGTCAATCTATTAATCAACCTAACAGTAGCTTTAGCCGATTGTGACTCTGGCTGCTCTTCGCAATTACTCCAAATACGTTCTTCAATCGCATTTTTATCTACACATGCATTTATTCAAAAGGTGGTGTTGATTAAGTTTCATCTGATTATAGTTCTAGACACCCTATAAATGAGTCTGACAAAGGCCGAAAATTATCATCCGTACTAAAATGCGTCACACACGTACCATGTTAAGTGCAACAATCAATCTTCATTTACTCCAAAAAAAGGATTAAGAATGGAAAGACAAAAGCCTTGCAATCTTCTCACCACAAATGGAGAAGACGTAGGTGAGTGCTGTTCTGTATACAGACAAACTCCGTGTGCTGCATCATCTGAAGCTTCTTGGCAGCAACATTTGAAATATATAAAAAAATATTTTCATATTGTCTTGGACAGATAGATAACATACTTAATTATTTCTAGTAACTAAATTACAAGTTCAATTTGCCACGTAGTACTGGTTCATGAGATCTCACGCTTCATTATTTATATGGCCAGTGATGTCTGGGCAGGGCATATCTCAGGTACCTCCAGCTAGCTTGCAACAAATCCAATAACATCCTTTGGCGCTTCAAGAAATAAAGCCCCCATCTTTTTTGCAAGCAATCAATTTGCAGCATTCTTCTGGCTGTGCAAAAATTGACTAATTAAGCTTGTAGTAGTACTTTTCCAAGTTTTACATGGAAATGGCGTCAGAAAATCCAGAAAGTGTTGGATTCTTGAGCCGTGGATGTTGTTGGTTCACGTCATTCATGAAGAATTTAGCCTCCAAATTAGTACTAGAACCAGCAAGAACTGCAAGGAGTCTCGCACAAGAAGATCCAAGAAGAATCATCCACTCCATCAAAGTAGGATTGGCCATTGCCTTGGTTTCACTAATCTACTACTTTGATCCTCTTTATGAAGGTTTTGGAGTGTCTGCTATGTGGGCTGTCATGACTGTTGTGGTTGTTTTTGAATTTTCTGTTGGTAAGTTATTCATTTCATAGTTAAGATTCAATACCAGTCTAATTAAGCATGCATTTTCTTGCAACTAATGAGGTTAACGAGCGTTATTGCATTTTGCAGGAGCAACACTTGGAAGATGTGTGAATCGAGGAATTGGAACATTCATAGGTGGTGCTCTGGGAGTAGCTGCTCATAGATTAGCAAGTTGTTTTGGAAGTGAAATAGTTGAACCAATAGTTCTAGCTGCGTCTATTTTCATATTTGGTAAGTTAAAAATAATTACTACTACTATGGCTTTTGGTGAATTTGATCATATCTAGTATCTGTTACTTACAAGTCACGTTTGGAAGTTAATTACTTCTTGTTCTTTGATGCAGCTGCTACTGGTACATTTGCAAGATTCTTTCCAAAATGGAAGGCAAGATGTGATTATGGCCTCCTCATATTCATCTTGACATTCTGCTTAATTTCTGTCTCGGGCTATCGAGATGATGAGGTGATAGATATAGCCCTCACAAGGCTCTCAACAGTCATGATTGGAGGATCTGCTGCTCTGGCCATTTGCATTCTATTATTTCCAGTCTGGGCTGGTGAAGATCTCCATCATTTAGTTGCTGATAACATTGAAAAGCTTGGGGATTTCTTGGAAGGTAACATTTCTTTCAGCAAGCTGATATATATATATATATATATATTCGGTGGTGGTCTTCATTTTGGCATTCTTCTTATATTCATCTAGATATTAACATTCATGTGGACTTGTGCAGGATTTGGAGATGAATACTTCAAAACTTTAGAAGATGGAAATGTAAGAGATAGCAAAGCATTATTAGAGAAATATAAAAGTGTGGTTAACTCGAAAACCATTGAAGATAATCTGGTGAGTTAGAATCTGAAATTAATCTTGGTACAAACCATTAAGAGTTTGATAATTCAATCCCATTAAAATTGCCTAGGTTTTAGTATTTACATTGGTTCAGAAAAAGAATGGTTCAGAAAAAGAACTGAATAAAAATGAACTAGATTTGGATCTACTTCATTTGCATAAATGGACGATCCTCAATCCACCCTCTCTAGACATACAAGTACAACACAATAATAAATGGAAAATTATTTTAAGTAGACCTGGAATTTTCGACCACATGCTGAGGTAATTGTACTATTTCCATTATTGCTTGTACACTCGAAAAAGGTACAAACATTTAAAGTGACCAAGCGACCTAAGTATTTGCGAAATATATGTATATATATATGGATCATTGGCAATACATAAATATACTGAATTTTAGTGCCAAATCTACTTAGTTGTAATCTTATTTTACTTAGATACCAAGCAACAAAATTAGGAAATGATGAACCAATCCCCAATTTCATCTTGGAAGGAGTTGCATCCTCAGTTATTAAATTGATTAGCAGGTTTGAAGAAATTCTCTCAGATATTGTATCTGTAATTGAGGATATTCGTGTAGCTGTTCTAAAACAACATAATTGTGGATGTAATTTGGACTCCCAGATAAATCAACTTAGTTGTGCATACTTTAACACAACATGTTAACATCTGCCGACCAGTTTGAAACTCTTTGAAATTCTTCTCCAGTCTTTGTTAAGCAAATAGTGCTGGACGATTTCCAGCAATCTTATTAATAAAGTTGAGTAATTTTTTTCTCTAAAAAAAATAGAAAGAACTTTACAACTCAGCACATCATTCCATACCTAATTGATATTGTATGTTTCTAATTGATATATAATCTTTCTGTCACAGGTCAATTTTGCAAAATGGGAGTTTCGGCATGGCAAATTCAGGTTCCGTCATCCTTGGGGAGAGTACCAGAAGATTGGAGGCTTAATACGAGAATGCGCCTTTCGTCTTGACTCCTTAAATGGTTACCTCAAATCCGAGGTGCAGGCACCTCAAGAAATCCGAGAAATATTTCAAGAGTCTTGCCAAACTATGAGCTCTGAGTCCAGCCATGCCTTGAAAAACATGGCACGGGCGATTAGGACAATGACTAGTTCGTACGTTGCAGTGGCAAAATCCCACATTGCGATTGCAAAATCTGCTGCAGATAACCTCAAATCGTTACTGAAAACTAATTCTTGGCAACAAACAGATCTCCTGCAAATAATCCCGGTTATTACAGTTGCTTCATTGCTCATTGAGGTTGTCTCTAGCACTGTGAAAATTGCAGACTCTGTTCATCAACTTGCATCTCTAGCAAGATTCAAGAAAATTTCTGAGGACGATGCATCAAAGTCAGACCAGAGAAACACAGAAAGAATATTGAGAAGTCCCAGCATTGAAGGATCCCATGGTCTCACTATCTCTGTCGAGTGATTAACGGCCTCTGAGAAGCTAAAAATTACTAGTATTCTGATCGGTTTTTCTGGCCTCAGAAAACAGGGCGTAGAGAGGAGAATAGGGACTTTTCCAAAAGGAAAAAGATACACATGTACAATATGGTATCCAATTTTGTCACTTTGTTCAATCGCGAGAGTGAATAATTTTACTGGTTTACCCCTTCGTATAATATGTGACCTGAAATATAAATGCATACTTTGGATACTACTCTCATGTTAAGCTCTACATATAAATAGTATAATACAATTGTGAGTGGAGTTTTCTCAAAATGCAATATCAATTTATTACTCATAAAATAATTTAGCCAAAAAGGAAAAGATTAATTAAAGAGTTCTTTGTGGAATTTATTAGGGCATCCACAATGCTATTACACCTTGTGGAGTGTAATCCACATCAGCATTCCACTTTCTCCTCTTTTATTACACTTTCACTCACAATGGATTACACTCCATAAGGTGTAATAGCATGGGTCCACAATTAGATCAAATATTTATTTTAATAATACATAACTCATATCCCATAAATAAATAAAATAATTTTTAAAAATAATTTTGTTATTTTAAAAAATAAAGTACTAACTTTCATTAAATTTTTTACATTTTGAATTTTTTATTTTCTAAAAATGATATTATTAATTTTTAAGTTTGAATAATATATCTTTTTCTATCTTTCAAAAATAATATATTGTTATTTTTTTCAAAAATAATTATGCAGGAAATTAAAAAAATATTTGATACCTCAAATGCGAAGATATCATAATAATCCATACTTAATTAATAATTCGGAATGTAATTAGTTGAACTCCATAACATAATATTATATAATTTAAATCAAATAAAATACAAATAATATTGAAGCTAAAATTGGATGTAACCGTTGGTGGCTAGAATTATTTTACATTTAATCATGGGTCCCACCTTCTAATGGATTACACGCATCATGGATATGATGCGTGTAATCTCCATGACTTCCATGATGCGTGTAATCTCCATGACACGGGTCCAATGGGAGACCGTATTGGAGCCGTGTCATGGAGCGGTGTAATGGGGGGCCATTACACATTTACACCCGCGTTGTGGATGCCCTTACATCGAGTCATTCTTGTACGGTCAAAAAACCCCTCTCTTTTGTTTTTTTGAATGTGTCGCCAATACTTATCTTAGTTGATGGGAAAATTTATGAATAATTTCAAAGTCACTTTTCTACTCTCAAATTTTCCCATTTCCCTTCACCCTTCTAAGGCTTAAATTATTGTCAAACGCTGAAAAAAAAACTTTTCACAAATGTATTATCAAATCTTTATTGTACTCTACACATACTTCGCAACCTTGTCCAAACTCCAAATCCTTTGATCTCTATAGCAAAAATTAGAACCATCACTTGCCAAAAGAAACATAGACATGTTTACTGTTACTTTTAATGTCAGAGTGAATTTTGCACCAAGAAAAAGGAAATAGAAAACCACCAAAAAATGAAAAATGAAAAGTAAGTCAAAGCAACGGGCAACAACCCCGAAAAGCCCAAAACCCCGAGCCCAGCCAACGAAAAAGGAAGTAGATAAAACTCCTATTAACAGGAAACCGCTCTGAATCGTTGGTCGTCAAATCAAGAATCAGGTGTGTTCTAATTATTCCATGGATTCTGTTGAGGCAGAGCAGCCTGAAGCTATACCTTCTTCTCCTCCATCTTACAAAACTGAACTCATCCATGTATTCTGGCATGAGGGCATGCTGAAACATGACACTGGAAAAGGTGTATTTGACACAGGAATGGACCCTGGATTTCTTGATGTTTTGGAAAATCATCCAGAGAACTCTGATAGAATCAGGAATATGGTCTCTATTCTCAAAAGGGGTCCTATTTCACCCTTCATCTCTTGGCATGTTGGTAGGCCTGCTCAAATATCTGAGCTGTTGACTTTCCATACACAAGGTATTAAAAAACGCTCCACAGGAGCAATTTCTGTTTTGTTCTTGAAAATGGTAACACTTGGTTTTGTTTTGATTTAGCTTCTCTGGGATTTGTGGGTTTTGCTCAAGTTGCGGATGATATATATTCTTTAAGGACATGTTTTACTATTTTGCTATATTGTCAGTTTACATGTTTTGTTGCCATGATACCTTGTTTTCCTATTATATTGGTTTATCTGAGATGGGGATGGGGGATGAGAAAGTAGATAATGACTTGAGATAGTGTTTGAAATGCTGTAATGAAGCATGTCTTTTCAATTTGCATTGAAAAATTGTGTTTTTGGATTGTGCAGATGTTGAAGTAAACAAAAAAAAAATTATCTTTTCATGTCAATTAAGGAGGTAGCATTTTTTGAGCTTAAGTGAAAGAGGAGGAATAAGATAGGAATTCGTATAAATATATTATTTTTACTTTTCCTTAAGCAGAATAATAGTTTCTTTTTTGGCATAAATTGTGCAACATCTCCAATATATGACATTTAAAAGCGGATATAAAAGGTTTGTGATGAAAAATTTTACACGAGCTCTAGCTATCTCTAGGAAAGAATTTGCTTATGTTTGGCTCAATTCAAGATCCCATTTTGTGTTGACTTTAGATATAATTGATATTTAGTAAAGCATTATCTCAAATATATTCTGCTGTTTGATAACCTAACTAGGTACTATCATTATCCATTGAATCTGATTTGACCTTGATTCCGTGTGTAAGGTGTTGAAAACTGGAAGGATGTGAGTTTCTTGAAAAGAGAACTTTCCGTTTTCACTGTAGAAATTGTTATTGTAGATTGTTGTACTCAGTTAATCGACAAAATTTAGTGATACGGAAATTCTATGGCACGAATTTTTGTCCCCTAGCATTTTGTACGGTTTTATTTATGTGGTCTTTACAACTCTTTGCATTTAATTTTGAATGACGAAGTGAAAATAATCTCTGTGTTAATAATATCTCAATTCTGAAATTCCTCAGAGTACATTAATGAGCTTGTTGAAGCCGATAGAGAGGGGGGCAAAATGATCTGTGCTGGGACATTCTTGAATCCCGGGTCCTGGGATTGTGCACTTCTTGCTGCTGGCACTACATTATCTGCTATGAAGCATATAATTGATGGATGTGGAAAAATTTCTTATGCACTTGTTAGGCCACCAGGTCATCATGCTCAGCCCAATCAAGGTGATGGGTACTGCTTTCTGAATAATGCTGCTCTTTCTGTACAGTTGGCTTTAGGTTCTGGCTGCCGAAAGGTTGCTGTTATCGATGTTGATGTTCACTATGGAAATGGAACTGCAGAGGGATTTTATCATTCTGATGAAGTTCTCACTATTTCTCTTCATATGAATCATGGTTCTTGGGGTCCCTCTCATCCTCAGAGTGGAACTGTAGATGAGCTTGGTGAAGGGAAAGGGTTTGGGTATAATCTGAATATACCTCTCCCTAATGGAACTGGAGACAGAGGATATGATTACGCAATGAGGCAGTTAGTTGTCCCTGCTGTTGAGAAGTTTAAGCCCGATATGTTGGTCTTGGTTATTGGCGAAGATTCAAGTGCAGTAAGTTCAATGTTTTTTCTTTACTTTTCTTACTAGGAAGGGATTATATGCTTATCTTTTGCCCATATTAGAAACTGTATTCCCCAATCTTCATTTTTGTTCTTGAACAAATAATGTTGATGTCAGGTATTGAACCATGAATGGTTAATAAAAAGTTAGCATCATTCAATCAGTGTCAGTTTTGGTTACTAGTATTGAGTAAAGACAAGGATTTGTGCTTCAGAGAGTATGGTTTCCTAGGAAAAAAAGATGAAAGAAAAGATTGCTTACATGATTCCGCTGTTAAAATTTGCTTAAGCAAAATAAACGGTAGTGCACTATGAACCTGAAGACGGATTCCTTACGAGATTGCAGTGTTACGTGTAATTACTTTTAAACCTACTCCCTGAACTTTGTTTTAGTTATCACTAATCCAGTTTATCTGGTACTAGTTAGCCTTCTCAATCATCTATTTGCTTGTTCAAACTAGACAGTTGCTTGAGTTAGCCTAGTCCCTAAAGTTTATTAAAGGAAAAAGAAAAACCTTGCTTAGAATGGACTGAAGTGTTATACTTTTGATATCAGATTTTTGGATTCTAGAGGTCCATATTTTTCACAATTTGGCTTCTAATTTCAGTTTGATCCAAATGGAAGACAATGCTTGACAATGGATGGGTATAGAGTGATTGGACAAACTGTTCGTGGGTTAGCTGATAAGCATAGCCATGGATGCCTTCTCATCGTCCAAGAAGGTGGATATCATGTCACGTATTCGGCTTACTGTTTGCATGCAATCCTTGAAGGAGTGCTGAAAATTCCAGTTCCTTTATTATCTGATCCCATTGCTTACTACCCAGAAGATGAAGCATTCAGTGTCAAGGTCATTGAATCCATCAAAGATTACCAGATAAATACTGTTCCATTCTTATGAGAGGCTGAATCAGGTAGCCAGCTCCTTCTTGGACTCTCATCTTGAACTTAAAAACAGCTATTTCATTTGACAGGAGAGCGAGGTGGATTCGGAACCTCTCCTCAAATTTTGTTTTTCTTTTCCACAGGCTTTCTAACAACACTTGCCTGTCTCATGAACCACATGGAGAAAGCAACCTTCCACTCAACAGATTCATCAAATTTTGCACAAGTTCTTTCTTTCCAAACTAAAACTGCACTGTTTGAAAATTTTTGCCCGAAAATTGGTAGTGGCCAATAGAGTAGCAAGCTCGTACAGGCCATTTTTATTTGTTTACCCACCCTTCTCCCTATATTCAAACTCCATTCTGATGACATCCTTAGAACATGAGCTTCAACATTCTTTGATCCACATTTTGCAGAGGCCTATGTCCATCTCTAACAAATAGCCATTTCAGTCCCCTTCTAAGCAACATCCACACTGCCCCTATTTCTATGTTGGCTACTTCTACATCTTGTATTCAACTGCAGTTATGACATTCAACTGCAGTTATGACAGTCCTTGTTCCTGATTTCCCCCAGCAAGAAAGAAAAGTATCAACTGACGAGCACAGGATCAGTCCTACCTATCGCTGGATATTGGTTTATCAGACAAGACTCAGGGCACGGGCAAGCCATTCGCGTTAATGCTTACCGGATTTGAAGGGATTGAAGTGAATGAAGCTGTTGACAACGACTTCATTGGAGCAATGATTCATCGAGTCCATTCTATCATCTGAAGTTGGTAGGGATGAACTGTTG